GTAGTTAGTTTTCAGCCTACTTTTCCCTTCTACTTCTTACATTTCACAATTATCTGTATTTTCTACTCCTTACATTTTTAAAAAAGGCAAGAAGTAAAAAATTGTTATTTATTTCATTTTTGCTTGTTTTCCTTCCAGCTTGTTATTGGAAAAAAATAAATACTATCCATATAAATTGTGCCTCCTATAGAGTGAATTTAATTGTGGTTGAATGAGAAGTATAAATATACTGTATAAAATTCTGATAGCGTATTAGTTTGTGCACAAACAAATCAAGTCACACTCCAGCAGGACATAATAATTTAAATAAAAGGACTGTATTTAGGAAGTATTTGTATTTCATGAATTATAATATTGCATTTGACCACAGCCGTTAGACAGATTTTCATTTAGGAGAGTTTGAATAACCTTGAAATATGTATATAAACTGAAACAATTAGACTAGTGCAGTGCTTTGGGGAGGTCACCTCCTAATAAATGTCCTTACAGAAAATCTAACTGCTCATTTTAAATCAACACTTTTACATTTAATACTTAAGTACAAAAATATCAGATACTTTAAGACTTTTACTCAAGTAATATTCCTAAAGGAGACTTTTAACTTTTACCAAAGTGATTTTTTGGTAAGATACTTGTACTTTTACTCATGTATCACTTTGTGGTACTTTATACAACATTGCTTATTCATGCATGTTTGAGAAATCCCTAAACCTCCTGTGGTAGCCATGTGGAACTGATACAAAGCACCGCCTATTGTACCTAGCTCCTCCCTTGAGCTCAGTCTGCAGCTGAGCACCCCTTCAATAAAGTATTGTTGTCAAAACATGTCTGAAACCAAAAATTAATAATTAGTCTGAACAATTATTCTAATAAACCATCTACCCCCAAAAACAAACAAACAAACAAACAAACAAACAAACAAACAAACAAACAAACAAACAAACAAACAAACAAACAAACAAACAAACAAAGAAACAAACTTTTTGTAGTTACATGTCTTTTATGATGTCTATGGTCATTGTTTTTGTTTGCTTACAATTTGTTTCAAACGGTTGAAACTGTTTTAAAGTGGTTATTGTCTGCCTTTGAAAGACAAATACATGTTTTTGCATGTGTCTGTATGCATGGGTTAATTTTTCCTGTCTGTTAGCAAAATAAACCACTAGGCAAACTGGATGTACAATGTGCATCTCCAACAGATTAACTTTTTGAGTCAATGAGATTCAAGATGGCCACTGCAGCTAATCAACAATAACAAACACAAAAAATGGCTGTAATCTATTAATTTTACAAATATTAAGCTAAAATCTGGGATGGTAGTAGCTGAGATTGATCCTGAACGCATAAGTCAAAGACAATCAAACATCTTGTTTCTTTGTTTCACTAGCCGCTTTGATTTCCTAAAAATAATAATAATAAAATAAAACATTCAATGAAACACGAGACAAGATGTATCCCAAAATGTTGTTACTGACACTTGAAACTAGCCTGGCCCTTGCCTTCCTACGCAGCTCCGCTCAATTCTAGTTTCGCTTCTCTGCTCCTCTGTACGAAGCAAAGTGAAGGACAAGGGTCTGGTTTTCACCAGGCTAACTTGAAACAACAATTAAAGCGTTCTTTTGTTTCGTTGTGTTCATAAACCCTGTGGTGCAGTAGAGTGGGTTTTCCCTTTAATTACTTTAGAGCATATCAGAAGACTTCAAAGCAAGAAATATCCAGAAATGAAGACAAATTAATGCTAGACAGAGTCAAAATTGTTACAGTGATGATACACTTGGACAAGAGCCAAACACAAGCTGTCGTTTCTCGTTGTTTCCTTGTTGGCCTTTACATGAGCCCTTGATGAATAAATAATCTGCGGACAGCTGCGGTGCAAACGCAGCAACATGTTGAAAAGGGTTGCTGCCACAGTTCAACAGAAAACGATGCACCACAAAGTGAGAAAACACCGTCACATTGACTTTTTATTTTCCCCTTTGGATAATTGGCTTCTTCCAAGGTAATGGCGCAATGATTTGATGCTATACGTCCAAGTTTTAAAACGTCCATTTTTCACCTCAAAGTTTTGTGCCAGAGATCAAAGCAGGGCACCACGTGGAGCCGGACGTATTTATGACCCCCCGTGGCGCACTCCAGACATCCGTAAACGGTTTCCCGCCGCTGGCTGCCCATGCCGCACAGCGCACAGGGACCTTTCGGGATGTTATGTTTGAGGAGGTTGACCCGCGTGTGGGAGCTTTCTCTCAGGTAGGCGGTGGACACGTCCGTCATGCTGGCAGCCTTCTCGTAGTAGTCGGTCACCATGTCGTCCACGTAAGTGTCGGTGTGGGTGAGCTCCTCGAATGTTCTGTCGTCTGTACAGGAAGCAGTCATGAGTAACACACACACACACACACACACAAAAATTGTAGCCAAACTACAGGAGCATAAATGATGTAGAACACCTGCTCTGAAGGGGTTTCCATAGATGATCCCAGACAGGAAGCGACGCAGACGCCCCATAGAAAAACGGCCAATCATACCTCCCAGTTGCTCTCTGATCTGTTCCCGCTCAAATCCACCCTGAGACTCTGGAGCTACACAAATATCTGAAAGATGCAGACAGACGGTAAACAGTAAATGGCCTGAACTTGTATAGAACTTTATCAAGTCCTGCCAGACTCCAAAAATATCAGCTATTCACACAATGAAGGTGATAAGCTCCATTGCAGCCACAGCTGTTAGGGTCTTGTCCAAGGACTGGGATGGATGAAATGGGGGATTGAACTGGCAACCCACTGGTTACAGGACAACTCCCCTAACCCCTCTACCACAGCTGCCCAGACAGCTCAGAGGACATCCAAGTGCACTTTGTAAGCACTTAAAAAATGGGCATCCAAAGAGTTTGATGAAACTGAGTTCTTGTTTCTTTCGCTTCATTTCCAACTAGCTTTCTCAGTTCAAACAACAAAGTGTAGAGCTCCAAGCTTTTAAGCTGTAGTGAGTTGCTCTGAACTAGATGGAAATCACTGCCCCTTCCTACCTCCTGAGGAAATTAAGGTTCTTTACATAGATGTATTTTTCTTATGCACCAACCATCCCCACTTTTTCTTGTTGTTAGCCGCTGAAGCCAGCAGGACACGTTTTACAGGAGCTACCATGCTGTTTGGACCCATAATATAGCTGGACATGTTAGAAAAATGAATATTTCAACTTACAGCAGCAGTAAGAACCACATGAATCAACAAGAGTCAACACTTGGAAAATATTTACAGAAAGGTATTTTTAATTCTTAAGAAGAACAGTGTTGTGGTCGAGGGGGCAGGGCATAAATTTGGCGGCACGACGGCTCAGTGGTTAGCACCGACGCCTCACAGCAAGAAGATCCTGGGTTCGATCCCCGGTTCGGACCTGGGGTCTTTCTGTGCGGAGTTTGCATGTTCTCCTCGTGCTTGCGTGGGTTTTCTCCGGGTACTCCGGTTTCCCCCACAACACAAAAACATGTACAATAGGTTGCCTTCAGGNGGGTACTCCGGTTTCCCCCACAACACAAAAACATGTACAATAGGTTGCCTTCAGGCCCAGGCCGCCCTTGAAAAAGAGATCTGAGATCTCAATGGGATTTGCCTGGTAAAATAACAGTAAATAAAAATAAAAAATAAATTAGTTTTGGTACCAGCCGACTGGGAAAAACGCGTCTCAATTGGACTTCAACTTATGGGTTCTGGTCCAAGGTGTACACATGAGAAATGTCTTAGTCAAATGCATGAAGGTGGGAATTGCAGTGAAATTAAAAGGGAAAACCAGATACCTCATTTTGTTTGATTTTCTTGATTTAAAAAGCAAATGAAAATCGTGTCTGCTCTGCCAAAAATGGGCACAATGTTGTCTCTGAAATGGTGTCCTTTATCCTGAAGATCAACCTGCGTAGCAAAATTTGTCTGGACCAGTTCTGACCCAACAGATACTGCAGACTGGTGCCCTTTGGTGGCCCAGATGTGGTTTGCCAGAGGTGGTCCATGCATGGGTCAGCACCACATAAATCAAACCACAACTTGGCTAGTTGTGGCCATATTACAAACAGTGCCATCAGTGACAGACCTGGCCCACATCCTGTTAACAAACCATTTGCCATCCAAGCAGTTAGCCAGCAATAAAACCAAATTTGGCACACACCTGTATGCTATGTGAGAAGAAAGCCCAAACACCAGGCCAGCAATGGCTTGTTACCCTCAGGAGGGAAGGGAGGGACAGTAATTTTCATGTGAGGTACATTTTGTAAGATTTGTTAAATTCACAAAGTGTTCTTTCGGCTTGCAACAGAACAGTGTTTTAGGTGGTCTTCCTACCAAGACGTCCGTCTAGTCGGACATAAATCTCGCAGATGCTGAAGGCAATGGTGGTGTGAGCTGGGATAACGATGGCTTTGTCACGACCCTTGGGGTTTCTGCCATCGTCGATCTGAAACTGCAGCAGAACAAAAGTGATCTTGCATTACACCAGTAAAATCGTTTGTTTTATAACTTTTAATATCTTAGGATGCTGTTGGTGAGAAAATACAATCTGTTATTGATGTTTATACTCTGAGAGGACAGATACATATTTTTACCCTCATGGTGGTCCCTCTCATACCCGCGTGGACAGTCAGAGAGCACTGGCGTGTAGTTCGGATACTCTCTACAACAACACAGAGGACGGTCCGTCCGCTGTCCTTAGACTGTCGAACCAGGCAGTGATCCAGGTCCACTTTCCTGGAAAGAACAAACAGTTTACCATCTGCAGGCTATGTTTTCTGTCTGGCATTGTCCTAATGTGTGTAGTCCTTGTCCGAGCACCAGCGTTGAATAACAATCATTTATTCAACCATACAGGGATGTCTTCTTCTCACATTCCCTCCATTGTAAAGAAGTCTGAAGTCAGGGGCCAACTTATTGTGAACATCAGCCTAAAACATTATTGGAACCTAATAAGATCTAATAAGATTGAACCAATTCTTAAACTTATGTATTTCCTATGGCATACTCTAGGGGAGCTGCAGCCCCCTCAACACCCCTACTTCACACACTAGGAAATGTCACATTCACAAAAACAGAATAAACGACTAGAAAGAAAGGATCCTATTGGTCAAACACTTCTTGATATAATTACGTTTTGGCTACAGCTGTCAAACTGGACTTGCACGACTGTACCTGGAGTTAAGTTCACGTAGTAAGGTAGGCACCTCCAGCTCATGTTTGGTCACAATACCGAAAGAAGCTTTGACGGCCACTGAGTCTGACCCACTGATGTTGAACCCAACATCGTTGATAATATGGTTCCCTAATCGGCCGTTTACAGCCACGTCAGATTTGTCCTCATAGTTGAGAAGCTGATATGAGGACACTCCTGGAAAAAGAATAAAACAATCAAATTAAAACTGGGTGAAACTATTGTAAGGGATTTATTGCAGTATGACGAATTATTTAAACCAGTCTATAAAACATCACAATGGATGTTACGCATAAACAGTTGTTGCAATAACAGCTAAACCACTGAAATGTTTTGTGTTTAAAAACCTAAAATGTTGCACAAGTAAATTTTCTTTTACCATAAATCATTCTAACAAATTCGGTCTAATATCAGAATGTGAAGAAAATCAATACACATCTAAAAGTTTGATGCAATGAATCTGATGACGACTGAAGATACTTTTATTTACAAAACTTGTATCTGTTTTGTGAGAGAAGTAGACAAATTTCATAAAAGCAATGGTTGCTTTTAGATGAAATATGAGCTCTTTGAAAACTTCACAGAAACTTTCCAATACACTTATAGTAAATATATCTGACAATCAGTACAGCCCTTACTTATCTGCAATGATAGCTGGTTTAGTTTAGATCAAATCGAAATGTATTTGAACTTATTTTCCAGTTAAAAACTATTTAGCAGGAATACAACATGACTCAGCAAAAATTATATTAAGGCCACATTTTGGGTACAATTATGTGTAAATCTGAAAGACATGTAGAGAATTTCAGTTTTGTACAACATAAAAAATAGGACCTAAAATACAATCACAGTTTGCAGATAATGGATTGTGGGACTTGTTTTTAAATCTTAATATTGTATAAAGATTGAAGAAATTCATGTCACAACAATCCTCCAAACAAAATGTTCAGACCTGGAATTCTGCAGTCATTATTTTACCTGCTATGATCTCTTTATCCCCCACAAGGATGTCTTTGAGTGAGAAAGGGGTTGAGGCGTACTTGTTCTTCTTCCAGAAATGCTTCTTCCTCTTCCTGGTTACCAGGCTGAGGGGCTGGTAGCGATCAGCCTCGCTCAGACTGGGGACTGGGATCAGTCTCCCCGTGTCTCCAACCTGTTTCACAAAATTTTTAGTGGCTGCAGCAAACATTTTAAACAATTTCTACCAAAAAAAATGTATCAAAAAAAAAAAAAAAAAAGGAGGTCAGAGCTTGTTTGCTGCTCCTGTTTGCTGACTCCTCCCAATGAGGAGGCTAATTCAGGAGTGTTCTTTCAGACTTGTGAAATCATAAATAATGCAGGTGATGTGTAAGGGAATATGGGACAAGGTGTGTGTTACACCTAATAGATGGCAGTAGGCCTGCAGCTTCCAGTCACGACACATAAATGTAATCCATCTTTAACAAATGCTTTAATCCACATTTTAAAAACACAACTTTTACCTGAGAAATAACGAGTGGAGTATTAATAATTTCAACAGATGAAACATCGGTTTTAACTTAAGAAAACAGCTTGTATAGTTTTTTTTTTCTAGGCTAACCTCTCAGTTTATTCTGGATGCAGTCCACTTCGAACAGCTCCCTCCACGCTTGTCTGTGTCCTGCTGGAACCTGTGGTTATGCTGCCATCTAGTTTATACAACCATAAATAGCCCATGACTACTGTATTTAAGTTTTCTCTGTAATTTTCTCCTACTGGCAAAAAATATGATTAAAGCATTGAATATATATATATATTATAATCATCATATAGGTCAACATTTTTCAGCTGCAAGGAAGCAGCCAGCTGTTGGTGGCAGCTAATTTAGCATGGTGCATCTTGTTGGCTAAAAAAAACCTAACAAGCAAAGACCAAAGTACATGTAAATTTGAATAAATACATTAAATAAAAACTCCACTATGCGTTTTGGTTTATAAAAGCTGAAAATGAATCATCTGGAATAAAATTAGAATTTGGTCAGAATAAACGTGTCAAAAAACGTTTTCAGCTTATTGTTTTTGTGACAACTGTAATTTTTACATTATGGCTGCCAAAAATGATAAACTTGTTAGGCCTACATTTTGTAGTAGTTGTTCGTGAAATATAGATTGATATTGAATTATATCAATGTAGTATTTCATACTTTAGTTTCAGTTTTTTGGGTATGGGCTGTTGTGTTGTTGCAAAAGGATACAACAATAAGTATTAAAGTATTGTTTATTTACACATTAACTTTATTCAGAGACTGTGCTGGTTTTTATCTTATTGACAATCTAATGGAGAAAACTACATATCATAAAATTTTATTTAGAATTGAAAATATGATGAATCTAATTATTCAGAAGTATTGCTATCTGTGATACTTGTCCTTGTTTACTTGTTATTGTATCAGCACCATCACACACCAGTATTTTGTGGGCAATGATCACTCAGGCCTGTTTTCCTGTGTTTATCTGTCTGTTAGCCAATTTACCAAAATGTCAGAACTAGAACTAACCGACTTCAGCAAACATGGGTAAATAATGCTCAAAGAATGTGCTGGGGATGACTCTCAGCTACTAACAAATTTCAACCTAATATCTGTAAAACTGGCTAATTGTGTTTTCTAAGATTAGTTGTTCACAGCACCCATCTTGTATTAAATTGACTCCAGAGGTTAATCAGCTGCAGTTGTAACAGACAACTGAACACACAAAGACAAATATAGGATTGCCGACTGTTCACGGCGATAAAAATATGGGATAACCTATCACAAAAAAGTCAAAAGATGTTTTTTTAAAGTAAAAAAGGAGAATGAGTTTGTAGACTAACTTTATAGCTTTAAAAGGAAATTGAATGGTTATTATTAACGTTTCACCTTTACGACTTCAAGGTAAAACATTAAATTGTATAAGTTTTAGTTCATTACAGTAAAAGAAAAACGATAAAAGATGAGTTCTCGTCGGTCACAGGAACTATCTTCCCATCTGTCATCTCCATCCCGGGGCAGCTCTTTCTGTTTCCTTAATGAGAAATCAGTCTGGCCTTCAAGCACATGAAAGACTTCCTGATGTGTTCAGCAAAAGGAAACAAACTAATTTTACCTCACGCACTGAGAGAAATGTTGCATTAAAAAGACTCGACAGTCCAACTGATGCTACAGTCCCTAATGACGAGGAGCCTGAGTTGTGGTAGATGAGTTGTGTTTGTTTTGTCGTCTGCCTCTGGGACATCACTGACAGACCCAGCAGATCTGCGTCCTGGAAAACACATCAAACAGACGTTACAAACACACTGTAAACTGCTCAGGCTGAAGTGTACAGATTTAGGTCAGCATGCTGAATGTGGTACAACAAGAAACGGGCTGTTTGATTAACATGCATACTAACTACAGGAAGATGTGTCTTTGGATTGTGTAAACCTAGCTTTAAATTGAGAGGTGCAATAGTTAGAGCCGATCGCCCCCCTGGCCTGTGGCATTTCTGTGTGGAGTTTACACGTTCTCACTGCACATGCAGAGCTTTTCTCCAGTTTCTTCTCACAGGTGAAAAACAACCATGTTAAAGGGTTCAAGAACTCTGCTACTATATTGAGAAAAAGCACTGCGAGCGTCTGTGTCTCACCTGAAAATAAAATTGAACCCCAGCAACATTTAGGAAGAAATAAAGACATAAGAAAATAATCCTGGACGTCAGGAAGGATCTGTCACCTTTACAGCCTCTCACTAACAAAGGGACTGTGGTGGGGAGGGTCTACAGTCATAGATTCCTGGGACTGCAGGTATATTGGACCTGAGCTGGACTCTTAACACCACAGCTGCAGTAACCCCCCCACCAGGAATGACTGTAATTCATTTGGCTGCTCTGGAAAGCTGACCTGAACCAGTGGCCTCTCACCCAGGTCAGAGGACTGATAGAGAGGATCCTAACTGCAGACATCACTGTCTGGTAGGGGAATACTTCAGGAGCAGACAGGAAGGCTCTGCAAAAAGTCATAAAGACTGCAGAAAGAATCATAGGTACAAAACCTCCTTCCATTCACAGCTCTGTTGAAAAAGAGCAGAGGGACTTATCATGGACTCACATTATCCAGCTCGATCTTTGCTCAGACACAAAAACTGTATAATCTGAGACGCAGCAGAGCAGACAGTAGCATCACCCAGAACAAGGTTTTTCATAGTTTTTACCCCTGTCACAGTCGGACTGATGCCAGAACAAATGTGACAAGAGAAGGTGTAGATATTATTACTTTTCTGTACAGTATAGATAGAATCTATTCAACGTATTGTTTATTGTTAGTGTTGTCTTAGTGTTATCTGAAATGTTTGATCATGACTCTGAGGGGCTGATTTATCAAACTTGATAGGGTAAATCTGATGTGTTAACGGTGCGCAGCGAGGATCATGACTGTCAAACGAAACAATAGCAGCTGCAATCCATTTAGCATGTTTGCCTTCTTGAATATGCAGAATATATGATGATTATCATAAATATCAAAAATATTAAAATACTGGGAGGAGAATATGCAATATACATTTTGCACCTACAGTGTGATTTATCGAACCTGGAACTGACTGCAGCCACTGTGTTAGCATCTATATTTAACAGTTGATAGACAGGTGCAAACTGGCTGCTCTGCAGTCATTCTACCTGAGCTGCATCAGTCGCTGTTATCTATTCCCCAGAGTTGTAAAGTAACAAAGTACTAATACTTTGTTACTTTACTTAAGACAGAATTTAAGCTATCTATTTACTTTACTTGAGTAATTATTTTTCAGCTGACGTTTTACTTCTACTCCTTAGATTATCTCACAATTATCTGTACTTTATTTAACATATCCAGATAAATTGCACCTCCTGGACAGAGTGAACTTTACTGTGGTTGGATGAGAAGTATAAATATGTACTGTATGTGACACTCTACTGGTTTGTATGTGATCCATCACACCTGCACATGACACAACTCACATCACGCTCCAGCAGGACATAGCAGATGTATGTAGCCTATGAAGATGATTGTGGCTGAAACAGATGCATCCTAAACATGAATATTTTAACATAACATTATAGTCATGATGACCTTTGGGAGTTCACCCCCCCAATAAATCATATTTTGAATCAGTCATTCTGTGCTACCCTGTTACCATGTGGTTATGTTTTTTTATCACATGCTTTCAGACAAGGCATTGGGACATGTCTTTTCACTGGAAGAATAATTTCACAATTAAAACCTTACACGTAAATTAAAAAAAACATTAATAATTGGGGGTTTCTCCTCTATCAGTAGGCCTACTTGTAGTTTCATTATATTTAACATATCATTACAGCATAAAAATCATCAGCTAAGTCGTTAAACTTACAGTTAAAATCAAACTCTTTGAACTGTCACAAATTTCCAAAGTTTGACAACTTAGTTAAAAACAAATTATTCATTTTCCCATTTATGTCCTGATGCATCTCAGTAAAGTAGGTCCTCTGGATGGGTTCTTCTTTAGTGAAACGTTTCGTCTCTCCTCCAAGAGACTTCTTCAGTCTGATGAGTTTCAGGTGAACTCAGCCTTATAAGCACTGCCTCCACATGGTGGACAAACAGGTTAGTCACATGCAAAAGAGGGCCCCAACGATACCCAACACAAATAGGGAAAGAGAGACAAAAACAAGGGGATGTTGAACCCCGCTTGCACTCACTACATACACATGACAAAACACCAAATAACCAAAGCCGAAGCATCCAAACCGTCAGGTGATGGGGCACAAGACCCTCTATGAACAGAGCTAATCAAGCCTATTGTGAGGCGATGGTCCTCAGTCAACTCTGAACGCTGAACAGCCACTGCAGCTGAAGCAGATTTGTGAGCTGTGATGCATGATTTGGTTGAAAAATTGTAACTTTTTTAAATTCAGGGTTAAAAATAAAAAAAAAATCAAGATAACAAAATGCAACAAAAAAATTAAATAAATAAAACAAATGAAAAACAACTAATGAACTCTAGAAAGAGTCCAGCAACAGAGCCGCGGGTTGCCAACCTCTGTTCTACAGAGAAACCCCGTGCAACACTGCATTTCTTGTGTTTGCTCCCATCAGTGGCACATCAAGAGTGATTTGCACCACCATTGCAACTGCTATTATTTGCACATGCAATTTTAATGAATTTCGTACAACATGCCCACTTTTAGCACAGACTACTTTTTAAATTTTACAATTTTTTTAAAATTTACAATTTTCCATCTATTTTATGCTAGTTATCTAGGACATTGATAAATTAGTCCAGTTCAATGCACAAATGCTAATAAAAGTTCACTGTATCTTTGTAATATTTTCTAAACTCTCATGCAACTCTAGTTCACCAACTAGTCTCTAATAATCAGTCCAGTGAGGTTCTGTCCAGGCCTTTTACTAACCCAAATATCATTTTTAAATACAAGTAAACAGAAAATAATATGTTCTTGCAGATAAAAAACAACGACTGGCAGGTGGCGATACCGTCCCCATTTACAACACAATTTTTTTTAAAAAGCAACTATCCCAAAACAATTAAACCTTGCTATTTATTTTCCACTGTTCATCATTTCTTGTCAGTAATAACTTCTGCTACAAAGCCAAAGTTGAATAGAGTCAGAATCAGGTCAAAGTCTGCCAGATGTAAAAAACTTGTAAAATCAGGTAATTGTTGTGGATTCTTCAGCTTATTTCATGTGCAAATCATTACATACTGTGTATGAAGTAATGTTTGCTTTTCAAAATACCTAGTTAGAGTGGACAGGGCAAGACCACAGGTCATTTTTATCCACACTGTACATTCATTTAATAAATATATGAAAGATGGAACTACTTTCACCAAATGGTTCAAGGTGACTAGTCCAGTAGATCACCATTAAAAAAATATGTACCACAAAGTAAAAGCAAAAATGTTTCTTAAAAGATGTTACTTATGCTTTGAAGTGGTTTTAGAAACATGAGCCATCCCTTCTTTTTTCACCAGGACAAATTTAATGCAGCCTTTAATTAGTCCAGTCGTTCAAGGCATCTCCAGAAGTCTCAGGAGAAGGTTGGCCTTGAAATGAAAGAAGAAATGATGAGAGAGCAGATGAGAGGGAGGGAGGAGGGCTGAAAGTAGCAGGGAGGTCTTGGTGGGGGGGTTGAGGTGGGACCTTGTTTCAGTTTGCAGTAATTGCTCGTCCAGGAGCCTGCTGCACTCTTTTCCAGCCTGAATGCTGTAGCTCGGGGCCGGGCTTTCTCTGGGACTTCCTCTTCTGCTCGGCAGCCGCTGCTTGTGAGGACGCTGCACGCCTGACGTGCAGACATGGGTTTCTCACTCCGCTCTAGGATTTCAATATGCCTGGCCCTTACCTTGGCTCAGGTGATTGCTGTGACCTGCCAAGAAGACACCAAGAGAGGTGAGCGTCAGTCCCAAGTAGGACGTCTAATTTAGATTGTTGTTAATGTTTGATGCTCAAGTAAAAAGAGTTCTGCTTCTGTGGGCTTTTGTTTTGACAGTAATTCATTTACATGTCTGTACGTTTACTGTTTTAATGTCTAAGATATCCAATCCTGTGAAAATGTGTTTTTTGCATGTTTCTCATTTTTAATGCACTTTGTGTTATGGTGAAACTAAGCTTTTCCACCTCCAAGCTCTTGAGCCAGGCTCACTTCCCTTGTGGTTAGCAAACAAAACTTTAAATAACACCTAAAATTGAGACTAAAGTGGCTCATTATAACTTAATTATGCACCACTTAGTGAGTACATGAAGCTGCTAAAAGCCACAAAAATAGTTATGCTGTGGCAAAACATCTGTCAAAAATGGCATTTTTGTCTAATAAAAAAATCTTGAGTCTGATATGACATCGACGTGACGTTGGTGCTCATTAGTGAGTTGAAAGTGAAACCCTATTTCAAATATCAGGTACTCTGTGGGTCTCTAACATGTAAACTTCAAAAATAGTGCGATCTTTCAAGGGTCCGGCTCACTCTAAAGAGTGTGCAACAGCTCGGCTGGTCTATTTCAGTGCAGAGTTGAGGCTGAATGATGGGTTGTAGATGCCATGGTTATAATGATGTGGCCTTGTGGATGGGATGGACAAAAGCAGGCCAGTAATTTTGGTCAGACTCGGGGCCAGAAGCAGACAAGACACACCCAAAGTGAGAAGATGCTGGATATGAAAATATGCTGCTCTTGCTTTCATCCAACTTCACCTCCACTGAAGCATTCACGCTGCAACGGAAAAGCACAACTTTATTTATAGACATGAACCAGATGTTGTAGGTCTGAATCTGTTATATTTAAGTACAGTCATGGATGAGGAAATCTCTCTTTTTTTTTTCAGTTTGACCTGTCTAATTCATCACGTTTGTGCCAAAATTGTAATGATTTATGGAGTTTGTCACAATGAAGAAAAATTAATCAACAAATAAAATGGCATAAACTGCTGTGTTCATATCACAATGGGAAATCTTAAACTGTAAATATCCCATCTTTTTTGTTTGCTAAGCAAAAATGCCACTAAGAGCAGCTTCAAACTTAGCTTTGCATCAGTGTTATTTATTCAAATCATTTAAGACTCAGACTTTCTCTGTCAATGCCCTGTCACACTACAACATTTTAGACAACTTGTGATTATTTTGTCCAACGTTAAAGAGGTCTAAGCTAAGGATGGAAAAAAGTATATGCCTTTTTTGAATGTACTAACAAGGTGAGCAAATACAAAATATTAAATATATTAGTAAGTTATTCTAAAATTTTCACGAGTTGGCATAAGTTGTCTAAAACGTGACAGTGTGACGGCACAGTACTGTATCTCTTTACAAAGCTAATCTGAATGAATTATTCTATAGAGACAATAGCAACATTTGTCAGGCCCAGTTCTGGCCCACAACATTCAGTAACAGTCTAACTTGGCCCAGGTAATGCAAAGAATGATGTGGCCCAGATGTAATTTGCTAGATGGGCCAGTTGTGGCATGCCATCTTAAAAATAGTGCCATCATGGCCAGACCTGGCCCACATCCGGTTGACAAACCACTTCTCGTGCCAGCAGTCAGCCAGCAGTGTCAGCTTGACTCCAGATCTGGCCCACATCTGTCTGCTATGAGGCTAATGGGTGCTTCAGATCACATTCATACACTGATGGGACACACATCAGAGGCACTGAGGGCTTCAGTGTTTTGCCCAGAGACACTTCAACATGTGATTGAACAGTGATAGAATCAAACCCCCAGCGGCTGTTCTAATCACTCACCATCACAAATCTGTGCTGAAGCCCGAAACACACATTATGTCACAAACAAAGATTATTATTTCCATCCATCCATCCATTTTCTGTACACGCTTCTTCCTTTTCAGGGTCGCGTGGGTCACTGGTGCCCATATCCAGCAGTCACAGTGCGAGGGGCGGGGTACACTCTGGACAGGTCGCAAGTCCATCAAAGGGCCAGATTATTATTTAATCCTTTTCAAGATAAAAGCTTCTCATTTTATGATTTTTTTAATTCTTCGCAGGTTCAAAAATAAAATAGACTTTGTGGACAACCTCAAGTTATCCAGAAAACACAGGTTCAACAGTGATGTTTTAGGTTGTTATCACCATATGTTGTAGCATATATTTTTATATGTTCAAGGCTAATTTGGAGAAATTATGCTTATGAGTATAAAGGTTTTAAATTATAGTTAAATGTTTAAATTTCTAAAGTGGACATATGCTTTTAAATCCTTCCTTTTCACATTTCATTCATTCAGTTGTGGTTCATTTAAAGTGGAACAGCAATGCTTTGGTCTAAATTCCCCATTATTGTAGCTCCAGAGACCCCTCCTCCAGCCAAGGTGCATCTGAGAGCAACTCATTTTGGCGCTGTCTCTTTAAATGCAGACACTTCACACCCCGTTCCACTCCAGCTCCTCCACCCCCATCCGGCCATTTTTTTAGTTTGATACGAGAGATAATTTTGCTGCGCAGAAACTTTTTATTGACAAACTGATTACAAGATGTCCTTCCATGTTTGAGCCAGAGTGAGAGGAGAATGAAGATGACGAACCTGCAGAAACCGTGGATCCGCAAAATTACTTAGCCACAGTGGTGGACACAGTTCCCCTAAAGTCCTAAAGCACTAACAGGGGAACTAATTTCCTGATTAGTGCTTGAGGGCTTTTGATAATTTTAGAATTTATTAGTGGATTAGCACTTGCTAAATGTATAGGCTAAATTTAGAAGCACTAATGAGGTCAATAAATTTTATAGATCAACGTTAACGTTAACAGCTGACAGTGAAAGCTGGGCGGCTGTGGCAGAATTGGTTAGCGGAATCATCCTGGAACTGGAAGGTCGCCAGTTCAATTCCTCTTCCAGCCGTTTCAGCCGTTGTGTCCTTGGGCAAGACACTTCAGCTGCCTTGCCTGCTGATGGTGGTCAGAGGATCCGGTGGCACCGGTGCATGGCAGCCCCACCTTTGGCAGTGTGTCCCAGGGCAGCTGTGGCTACAATGTAGCTTACCACCATCAGTGTGTGAATGGGTGGATGTGTGAAGTGCAAAGCGCTTTGGGGTCCAAGTGGACTTGATAAGGTGCTATGTAAGTTCAAGCCATTTACCATTTTGTTCAAATGTGTCACTTATCCACTATGTGACATATTAACAATATATGAACTCAATTATGGCTGTGGAATAACAGTGATAAGGCTTAAGAGAGCAAAATGGCAATATGTGACTCATGTTGTCTGTTGAAAGATGTTCATGGGTTGACTGGGTTATTTTAGTGCTTTAGAATTAACCTTTGTTTAATTTTTCAATGCGTTAGTGCTTTAGAATTAGGGGACTTAAATATTTGAGTTAGTGCTTTAGAATTAGGGGACTTAAATATTTGAGTTAGTGCTTTAGGGTTAGTTGAACTAATTTTTAGATTAATGCTGCCCACCACTGTGTAGCCGGATGTCCATGAGATAATTCCGATACAAATACTGCGATGTTATTGTTCAAAATATGTCATAGGAAATAGAGAAAGCTGAACAGATTAAAAAAATATGACCCAAACAGAAAACAAAGATAACTTTGCAATAACCGGAGAGACTAAATTCTGCTTTTCTGCCTCCTAGAGACTCCAAGTCCACATCAAAATGTATTTAATGGCTAAAAAGTCCATTTTGTATACATATATATAT